GGCCTTGGACACTTCCAGGGATCCAGGGGCAGCCACAGCTTCTCTGGGCAACCTGTGCCAGGGCCTCCCCACCCTCACAGGGAACAATTCCTTCCCAATATCCCATCTAAAACTGCTCTGTCAGTGTGAGGCCAGTCCTCCCCCATTTTTCCAAGAGAGCGGAATAATAAAATTGAAGTTTCAGGAGGAATAATGAATTTCCTGAGTAATCTTACTCCTTTTTTTTACAACAGTGTAGTATAAATCCATTCAAAGAATTATCTTTCAAAGAGAAATGATCTGAGTATTATGAAAGTAGAGACAGAAAAATATTGGTAGAAACATGAGCTGGAGCAACTTTGTGCCAACAGGTTCATTTTATTGCTAGTGGGTTTCTTTCTCTAAGAAAATTGTTCTAATTAAGCAGGTTACTGCTAAACTTTGCTTTTTTCATTCCAATCCCAAAGTTTTTGCAGCAAATCCTGTGGTATCAATCTACAGCCACGGTGGCTGAGATTTCCTGGGATTATGGTGCTTGGGGATGGTTGTTTCTGCCTTACAGAGGTGTTTCGGTGCAAAATGTTACATTTCAGTGAAAGTTCCTCACCTCCCACCTTCCCCCTTAGGGGAGAGCTGTGTAACAATGAAACCTGAAGTGCACAGGATGATTCCTTGGAATGGAGAGTGTTCCTGGAGGTTTCCCTTTGGAAAGGATGTGCAGGTTTGCAGTAGGTGGCATCGTGGAGCAAAAAACAGGGAGAATCTGCACCCAGGGCTCTGCTGCTCTGGCCTGGAGTGCAGGGGTTTGAGGCACCTGGAGACTTCTGAGTGGGGCTTCCAAAGAGTCAGAAACCAGATTTAGGACTCCTTGTACGTTTATATAGGAATTAAAGCAAAAATGGTGAAGTTTTCCTGGAATCCCAGACTGGTTTGGGTGGGAAGGGACCTTAAAGCTCCTCTCATTCCACCACCTGCCCTGGGCAGAGACACCTTCCACTGGAAAGTGAGAACCTTCTCACTTCCATTTTGCTCTAAAACTTGATTTCTGTCCTTGATTTCTGAAAAAATACCTTTTGGTGACTTATAGTTAAATTATATGGTAGCAGAAAAGGAGGCCCTGGACAAAAAGTAGTGCAAAAGCTCCAGGCTGAATATTTGGAGCTTTTAGTGCTAAAATGCAAATGGTTTCTGTGTTCCTTGCTGCCCAGAACAAAGAGTGGGAGACACCTTGTGACAGTTTGGAAGTCTGACAATTAAATTATCCTGAAAGTTCAGCTGCATTAAAAGTTGAGATTTTCAGAGCGTTGGAGACAATTAGAAAAGCACAATGACACTTGTTGAGATAAATGTGGGTGAGATGCCCTTAGTCAGAAAAAAAGACTCCACTGGTGGCACTGCTCCAGCTGCTCAGGCTTGATGAGCAGAACATGGTAAGGACAGATACAGATGTTAAAAAAAAAACAACCAAAAAGGCTGTTTGATGGAAGTTGTCAAATTAACAGCTTTTTACATCTTACCCTTTTCTTCTTTGGACATTTTTAATTTTATCTTGGCTTCTTCCTCTGACAGCACTGGGAGCAGAGTGGGATTTAAATTGCAAAATTCTGCGTGCCAGAAATGTCTGACAGTGCTTCAGCTCTAAAACTGAGACAATAATTCTGTGGTTAGCAACTATATGTCATTACTAATCATGAACAAAGATTATTAAACTCTGAAATTTAAGTCAGGTAAAATTGTGAGACCATGACACGTTTTTAAATAGTATTTCTGAGTGTTTATATTTGTGTTTGAGCTGGGTATTATTTGGAAGCAGTTAATTAAGGGACCTAATTTAAGGTCTCTTAAATTAAATCTTTAAAAATAGTTGACATTTTCCCTTGGCTGATTAGATCTGATTCCAAGGTTTATAGGGAAATTTTACATGTCTTCATGTTTCCTGCCAAGTTCCTTTGAGATAAATCCTTGTTCTTAGAAAAGAAAGAAAATTCAGCCTTTGGTGAATTGATACACTTATTTCTAGTTGGATTTTTTTTTCCATCTGTTGGCTAAGAAATAATTGTTTTGTTCCTGTGCCAGCTTTAAAATCCCTCACGTCCTCTTAGATACAATCCTCATAAATATTTATACAAATATAGTATCAGCTGTAAAAATATTTGCCCTGCTCACTGCAGGAAGGAACCTGAATTCTGCTCTCTAATATTTTATCTAAATGGAATTTCTCTCCCACTCCCAATGGTTTGGAAAACACTGGCTTAGACAAGGGCTCCAGGAACATTTGTAAGTCAGAAGTGTAATTTTTTAAGATCTCAGCAGTGCAGGGGGGGATGTTCCTGTCTCAGAAGTGATCACTGAACGTTGGCATTAAATCCTTTAGCAGTGGTTCTGCAGTTCAACTCATTTCTGCAGTTCTGCAGATGGACAGGAACTGTTTTCATCGAAGGAATAGAGATTTCTTTTTCTTGGTGTCCAGTGAGGGAATTGTCCTTCCCTCAGGCTGCCAGGGCAGGGATTTGTGTCAGGAAGAAAGGGAAGCTTTGCCCTGGGAAAAATCCCTGAATTTCCCGACAGGTTGCCCCTTCTGTTTGAGAAGTTCATTCTTTCAGAGAGGTTTTACTTTTTCCCAAATGCGTTGGCACGAGCGAGGAACCACATCCTGAGCTCTCTCCTGTCCATCTCTTCCAACCTCTTACACTTTGTGCACGGGTTTGGCATCAGATGAGTGACAGGGAAGGAACATCTGGAGTGGTTTGGGAAGCTATAAAATCATCAAGAGTGACTCTCTCCTTTGTCCTTTCTGGCCCCAGAACAATGTTTAACCTCCCTTTTGGAGCAGGTATCCACAGGCACTTGTGTCCATAACATTCTCTGCCTCACATGCTGAATATTTCCAGGAAACTGTAGAACCACTCTGGAGTCTTTAGGGTGATCAATAAATTGCATTTTAGTGGCAGTGCAGCTTCTGTGTCACCCCTCCTTGCCAACCCCTGCTGAGAGCGTGACTTGGATTTGTTAAAGTTGAATTTCATCCTGTGGGCTGTTGTAGTTTGGTTTGGCTGTGCTGACAGAAAGGCAAAAAAAGGAAAAAAAAAAGAGGATTTGCACCCTCTGCTTTTGAAACACAGTGTAGACAGAGAGGCAGTGGATGGTTATTTACACATTTTATTTTGGGTTTTTTTCCCAAAGAACCAGAGGCACAGTGGGTTTGTCCACCGACCTGAGGTCTGGGAGCTTGCAGGGGACTTTTGGTGATAATTCCTATGTAAAATCATGATGGAAATAAGCACTGAAGTTCCTAGTTCAGTAAATCCTGTGCTGTGTCATGGGCTCCCAGCCTGCTTCAAGTACAGTGTCTTTTAACTGGATTTTCAACTTATGCCCTTAGTTTTCCAGTTTTTCAGTTCCTAATTAATTCACTTATAAAGGCTTACGGCTTGCAAAGGGAGGGAGGGGAGAATTTGGGCACTTTCCCATGGGAAAGTAAATGGAACTTCTCAGAAAGGTTTTTTTTTTCCAAACTTGGTCATTATCTTAATGATTATTTACCTATTTAAAACTTCAGAGGCAGAATTTGGTCAGTATTTCGTAGTACATATCAAGTGTTCTGTGTGTTTCCATGTGGATTTGAGGTACATTTTGCAGCATTCAGGAGGGTCCTGCTTTTCCTGGGGAATGCAAATGAAGTTCCACTGAGGTGGAACTGAATTGTAGCTGCTCAAGTAGAGGAGCACAATTAATTTGGGGAGAAAACCCCCTTCCTTACTGGATCAGAGTTGGGAAAGGGTGTCCCTTGAGGTTCTTCCTAAAGCCACATCCCTTCAGCTGCCACATCCCACAGTCCCTGGGCAGCTCTGGGTGGGAATTATTAGCAGAAGTAGGAAAAGTGGGAAGGGAATGGGAGTTTGAAGGGAAGGAGTTAAAGCTGGAGCTGCTGTGGGAAAGCTGGGTGGGTGTCCTGTGTGGCTCTGCTGTGGCTCCACATGAATCCAGCAGGACTTTGCTGATGGGCAACAAAAGGCTTCTAATTATTGCTGGGTTCCTTCCCTCCCCGGGGAGGAATCGCCCACAGAACATGGATTGCATTGGTAATGAGGAAAAGCCTCTGAGAAGGTCCTCACAGAAATAATAAGCTCTTTAATTCTTTTAGAGGAGGCAAAGGAAAAATTCTTCAAAGTTCATCATTTCTTTTTTGTTTAAAGAAAATAATTAGATTTTTTTTTTCCCCTTGAAGCATTTCTGACTATTTTTTTAACCCTTTCACAGAACCCTTTTTACACTTGCTTGAAAAAAACCCCAAACTTTTATCTTTCAGAATTTTGAGCCCAACAAGCAGTTTCCAAGATATTTGGACCCTCTATAACTTCCTCAGAAGACACGAGGTAGGACGTTTTCTGGAGTATTCGGTCACTTCACTCACACTTCTTATTTCCAGGAGCTCTGAGGTTGTGTCTCATCACTCTGTTTCCACTTCTGTTTTGTTTATTTGCCCTTATTTATTAGGTGTTGAAACATAAAGATACATTTTTGGTTGGCACCTACCAAAGGTACTCAGATTTCTCCCACTTCTTTGTGTGACTTTCTGAGCACTTATTTGGTGTGAACGAGTCTCTGTTGAGAGTAAAAAGCCTTGAAATGAGTGTTTGCAGTAGAATATGTTTCTGTTTAGTGTATTCCATATTTCAGAGGCTTTCAGTGCTCTACTATACAGGAAAATATATTTGGGCTTGGGACCTGTACATGTATTTTTTGCATTGATGTGATCTATCTTCATTTGAGGGGTGTGTGTGTATATACACAACTACTGGGTAAATTAAGAGAGGAGGAAGAGTTATTTAAGGTCTTTCAGTTTTGCACAGAAATGGTTAGAAAATGAAGCTGGAGTTTGTAATATTTGATTTCATAGCACATAGGATGACTTTTTTAATGTACTCTCTCACCCTGAGAGCTGTCAGGTAATACATTACCTGTATGTGATACCAGCTGTACATGTCTATATACACAGGTACAGATAGCTTGGAGATGTGGTACTTGATAAATTACTATGTTCCTTCTTTGTTTTAGGTGAATAACAGTCTGAAATTCACTGCTGAGGAGCTTTATGGGTGTGTTTCCCAGGAGTTGTACAGGTAAGGCAGTGCCTGACCACACGGGGGGGTTGAGACATGGATTAGCAGGGATTGAACGTGCATTTTATCATGGATTGAATGTGCATTTTATCATGGGTTAACCAAGGTCCCCTGAGAGAAATCACGTGGGCAAATCCAAAACCCCCTTTGTAGGAGGGGCAGGGGGAAAATGAGTGGGGATTGGGGTTTTTTTGTTTTATTTCCTGAGGAGGGAGGAGCAGCAGAGACACCACAACCCCCATTGCCATCCCCCTGCAGCACCGGGAGGGGAGGGAATCGGGAGCAGGGAATCAGGGGTGAAGTTGGGCCCAGGAAGAAGGGAGCAGTTTGGAGATTTGGGTTGATTTCTCTTTCTCCTGCTGTGATTCCATTGGGAACTCATTCAGGTGATTCTCCCGAGTCACAGTGGTAACTGGTGAGTCTCTCCTGTCCTTTTGGGACATTGTCCTCCCCTGTCCAGCTGAGGAGGGCAGTGACAGTGGCTTTGGTGGGCACTGGTCAAACACCACATGGATGGATTAGAAGTCGATCCAAGTGAAAAAATCAGTTCTGGCTGTTGGCTCTAGACCTGCATCAACACAGGCAGAAGGAGAAGAGGGGGTGGAAATTTGTGCTCAGCAGAGTAGAGAACAGAAGTACTTCGGAGGCTGGTGTGGCTCAGGCTGCACTTGTGGAACTCAGGAATGGGTATTTTCCTCTTTTTTTGAGGAGTAGCTTTTAAATGGTCTTTTGAGAAATAATCTCTTGGAAACCAAAGTTATGGAATGTTTACATGTGATCAGGTCTGGATCCCTCTTTTGAGGGAAAGGTGTAAATCATAAATCAGTGTAGGCAAGAGACTTGTTTTGGGTGTAAATACAGTGTATGCAAATATGAAAGATGGTTTGAATGGGACCTTCCAGAATCCCCAATGTGTCCAGAAAGCTGGAGGATGTGACTGATTCCTCCACCTTCCCCTGACCCAGGGAAAGGGAGCAGAGCTCTGCCTGCTGCAATTGCAGGGTGGCTGTTTTAAGGAATTAGTATAAAAGTCACTGCTGCTTGTTGAGCTTTATGGAGATTTCCTTCTTGAAAACTATTTTCTTTTCAAGGAATATTTGGAAAGATTCCCGTCTGTGCGATGGGTCCACTGTGCCCTAACTGTTGTCTCTTCCCCAGGGAAAGGCTGGAAGTTGGTTGCTGCCAGCTGGCACAGCTGGAGCAGACCCTGGAGCAGTGCCAGGTGTCGGCGCACAGGGAGGCCGAGAGCAGGGGCTGGCTGTGACTCCCTGGGCTGGGACATCCCTGGGCTTGGACACCCCCTGGGCTGGGACATTCCCCGGGCTGTGACATCCCAGGGTTGTGACCCGGAGCTGGGGGGCTCAGCCCTGCCTTGGCCTGGCCCAGGTGAACCCTGACTCCCCAGGGGAGGAGAGGGAGGTGCTGGAGGAGCCAAAAACCCGCCTTCTTTGTTCTCAACGGTGCTGGTTTGTGCTGGAGTTGAAGGAAAAAGAACCTGGTTACCTGTGGACATTAAATGTCGAATTTCTGCTGAAATGAAATGCTCTGTCTCGAAGGAGGGTCCCAGCTGGATATCGTTGGATACCCAGGAAAACCACGGCTGGGCTGCTCTGAGTGCTGTTAATGAGCCCATGTTTGTTTTGCTGGTACTTTAGAAGTGACGGGAGATAAGAGTCTGTTGTGTCCCTTGGGGGGCTCTGGAGGATGGAAAGGGGCTGAGGACAAGGCTGGGAATGAAGGACTGAGGAGGGACAACGGGGACAGATGGATGCTCATTGTTTTTAAAGACAGAGCAGAACCCCCTCCCTGCTGCAGGTGTGTTTGTCCTGGAGCCCTTCACAGAGGAAAGGGATGTTTTTCCTTTGTTAAAATGCCTGCTTAACCTTCATACAGTGGAAACCTGCTGGCAGTGCTCTTTGGGAAACTCCTCATCCTTCTCTTGCCACCTCCTCCTGCCAAGGTGGGACTGGTCACCCTGCTCTGCAGGTGCCACCTCTCACTGCACTGCTGGTTGCTTTCCAGAACTGCTTTAAGCCCGTGAAAGTTTCCAAAAGCCATTTTCCAAGGCCTTTCTAACGCTACCTCTTCTGTGTGTGCATTTGTACAGAGACAAGAGACAACTGGCAAAGTTCTAAAGGGTCTATTTTGATATTAACTTCTGGATGTATTTGTAAAACCTCGATTATACAGATGTAATTTATTGTTAAAATAAACAGTGGTTAATTCTTGAGTGGCTCTGCCTTGGAAGCAGGAGATCTCCCAGTCCCACACAAGGGCTGTTGCTCAGCCCTGTGCCCTCCAGCAGCACGAGGGACACTTCACCCCCTCCATTCTACTCCAGGGCTGTCAGTTAAACACCCCCTTCCTTGCTCCTGGACCTGCTCCCGTCCAAAGGGTCGTTTTTAGAATCCCACAGTTCTGTTTGCAAAGAAAAGGACACAGAGAGCTCAGGGCACGCCTGTGGTGCGAGGGTTTCCCAAAAGGTACCTTTAATGTGTTTGCAGCAGCAGCAAGCAGTCAGTGCTAGTTTGGCACCCAGTTAGGTGTGCAGCACTACACATTAGACACCAAGTCATCCCAACCCAACAGCTGATCCAGAGGAATAGAGAGAGTGAACGAAAACAGGACTATGAGCACATAGGAAATCAAGTTATTTGTGTTCTATCACACTTCCAGCTCGGAATATTAGAAAAATAAACTTAAGACAGTTACTACAACACATTTTCAGTGCCAGCTGGCAAGAGTTGAAAACCCATGAGAACCCCCCTCCCCGAGCTGAGGACAAAGATCAGCTCACCCAGAGTAACAAACGGCTGTACAGAAAGCGCTCTGCGTCCTCAAAACACCCAGAGCCAAAGGAATTCTCCCCCCAGGAAGTCTCAGCTGTGGTGTCTCAGAAAGCCTGTGCAGCTCTAAGGTAGGTGGTGCAGACTAACTTACACTATTGCAGCAGAGGCAAAGCTCCCACACGGGTGAGTCCACTGTCCCACTCGCTCTCTATGAACTCCAAGGTTGTCTCTTTGTTCCAATAACCATTGATCTGCCATGTGCATTTCAACAGACAAAATACTCTGCTGAGTATATAAAAACTGTTATAAAAAGGCAATTGTAAAAGATAAGGTATTAGCAGAGGCATGTCAGCTTTTTTTAATAAAAAAAATAGCCATTATATCTATTTAAATAAGGCTTCTTGTTACAGATTGTTCCAGTTACTGAAGGAAACCAAGGCCTGATGAGAAAGAAAAAACAACTATCCCCCCCAAACTTTACCCTTCCTGCCCCGAGAACACACCTACAGGAAGCCATTTCATGTGCAAAGTGACAGAACAAACACTGGGGGAAGCTCCTGAAATGATATGCCCAGTCTAGTTTCTCCTGCTTTATCTTCAAAATCTTGAAAACAAAACCAAAACAAAAGTTCTAAAATACACAAAAACCCCCTTCATCTCAATATTCTTTCCAAAACAAAATATGTACAGCACATTAATATGCAATATGCAAAAGCTCTGTGTTGCTGTTGGCAACGTCTATGCCCTCCCCGCCCCTATTCACAGGTGTACCTCTACTGACACACAATTACATCACTAAGCCTGTTAGTCTGAAAAGGGGATTTAATTTGCTCAGAACTTGTAGATCTTGGTGTAGGGGCTCCACTCGTCGGTCTCCGGGTTGTAGACCTCGAGCGTGTTGAGGAAGTCGTTGCCGTCGAAGCCGCCCACGGCGTAGATGGTGTTGCCCACGGTGGTGATGCCGGCGTTGCTGCGGGCCGTGGTCATGCTGCCCATCATGCGCCACTCGTTGCGCGCGGGGTCGTACATCTCCACGCAGTTCACCGCGTGCGTGCCGTCGAAGCCGCCGCCCACGAACAGCTTGCCTGGCAAAGGGAAGGGCGCAGGGTGGGCGCTGGGTCCCAGCCTCCTCCTGGGAATGCAGACCCAGCCCGAAGGAGGAACCCCAGGGGGTCTGGCAGTGACAAGGTGACCTGCTTTGGCTCTCCTGAGCGTGGCAGCTGAGGGGAACCTGGGTCAGAGCCAGGGCAAAGTCCAAATGCAAACAGGTGCAGCTCTGGAGTGCTTTGAAAAGAGTGAACAGGGAATGCCCCAAAACTCTCTGATTACTTTTCTTTAATCCAAACAAGGTTTGGCCAGGTTCTTACTGTACTGTGTCCTCCCCGAGCAGGAACACAGCTTTGTACTCTACTAACATCACAGCTTAACGTGGAACAGTCACCAAGCACCAGACGCTGCTCAGGCCCTGCAGCAGCAGCCCCTACCAAGAGAGCCCCCTCAGAGCCAGCCCCCTCCCCGGGAGCCCCCGGCAGCCCCGCACCTTCCCGCACGGCCACGCCGGCGCCGCGCCGTGCCACGTTCATGGGCGCCATGAGGGTCCACGTGTTGTTCTCGGGGTTGTAACGCTCCACGCTGTTGAGGCAGTTCCACGACTCGGCTCCCCCGATGATGTACAGGAACCCCCCCAGCTCGCACACGGCCGACTGGTGTCTCCCTGCAAGCAAACACCAGCAACAGCCATGCACCAACATCCCACAGCAGCTCAGAGGTAAAGCTCGCTTTGGTTTGGGTTTTGCTTTGGGGCAGTTTTGCGCTTGCCCTTCTCTCCCCCTCCCTCCTGACTGCACAGTGAACTTACGGATGTTCAGGGGAGCACAGCTTGTCCAGGACTTTGTTACGGGATCAAACACGTCACAGTTCTTCAGTCCCTTTTGGCCATAAGGATCAGAACCACCCACGATGTACAGCTTTCCATTCAGGGCACACACTCCTGTTCACAAGGGACAGAATGGTAAGGAAAGGAGTGAATTTAAAACACCCCAGCCCCCTGTGCTGCAGAGGCCTCACCTGCATTGCAGCGGTTGGTCCTCAGCTCTGGGACAGGAGTCCAGTCGTCGATCTCTGGCTCGTACATCTCTCCACAGCTCAGGTCATCCGAGTGGCCGTTGGATCCCCCCACGACGTAGAGCTGCCCCTGAGTGGAACAACACCCCCCTTTCAGCACTGGAGCGCCCCAGAAGCACGGAGGAAGCCCTCGTGGCGGTCAGCGTGCCCCGTGTGTGCACCCACCATCAGCACTGCCATCTGGAACCGCGCCCTGGGCGTCCTCATGGGCGCGATGAAGGTCCAGGTGTCGCTCTGCGGGTCGTAGCACTCCACCGTGCGCAGGCACTCCTCCCGGTTGTAGCCACCTGGAAGCAAAGGCTCTTGTGGCACCACCGTTTGAGCCCACGTGCTGTGATGCTGAAGAACCCCAGCGGGCGGTGGTGAGGACCCCCCAGCCCCCTGCCCTGACCTGCAGCGATGAGCTTGCCGTGCAGCTCGGCCGTGCCCAGCCCCGAGCGCGCGTACTGCATGGGGGACATGGGCTTCTCCACCACGTTGCTGGGCTGCAGCTCGAAGCTGAGGCTCTTCAGCAGCCGGGGGGTGCTCGAGGGGGAGCTCTGCGGGCTGTTCCGGCCGTGCAGGAAGATCACACACAGCACCCCGTCCAGAACAGCCAGACACAGGTACGTGTTACCTGGCAGCGGGAGACAAGGAGAGACCGCCCAGGTCAGTAAAGTCGTGGGTCACCCCAAGCGAAAGCCAACGAGGGTCTTTTGGTTCTGCTCCTCCCCTTATCTCCTTGGGTTTTTTCTGGTTACTGGTTTTCCAAGTGTTAGAAAAAGTGTTAGTTACTGAAAAATCTGAGTTTTAAGTACTAAAACAGTACTCGAAGAACGTAAGACAGCAACCTAAGGAGGTGCTGGGAGAGGCTCCGCACACACCCAGAGCAAAGAGCTTTGCTAATGAATGAGGGACTGCCTATCTCCTTAGGCTTTTCTGGGTAACTGCTGCACACCTTGGCATTTGGGATGGCCCTGTAGACAAGGAATTGAGGTGTATGTGATCCCAGTTACATTAGAAACATCCCATCAATTACTTGTAAGAAAAAGCACTTCTGCATTCCTCAGAGATGCTGAAGGAAACCCCCAGGGAGCAGGAGGTGGTGGGTACACGATACCAGACACATCTGTTAGACAAGCCCTGCCCCTGTTACTCACTCGAGGTCTTCTCTGAAGCAATGATTTTCCACTCGTGTTTAGGACTCTGAACAGTAGCATTTGGAGAAAGACATCCAGTGGAGCTGCTACTGATCTGCTTGTGATCATTCTCACGTGGTGGCTTCTTCTGCAAAATCAAAAGGCAGCTACAGAAACCTAGCCAGAGACTACACCTCCTGCTCCCTCTGCTTCCCTGAGCTACTCCGTACCTACTGCAGAGCGGCACTTGGAGCACACTTAGCTCCTCCTGCAGAGCACCTCCCTACCCAGCAACAGCCACAAACCACCCTGCACCTTCCTCCTGGGACTGCTCTCATCCTGGGACTGCAGCTCTACACTGCTGGAGTCGGAGCAGGAACCATTTCAAATCCCTGGAAGAGTCTGCCTCACTGACAGCATTTACAAATGCAAGGCAAGAGCTGCATGCAGTGGGACACAACTGAGCTACCAACTAGAAGCCTCTCACAGCTCTGCTCCTGAACTGGAGTTCATTATATAATGCTATTTGGAAGTGAATTAACTATTCTCTTCATTCCCTGAAGACAAATTAATTTCGCCTCAGTTCCTCTCTGTGCTCAGATTAGCTGTTTCTTGGATTTTACTCCCTTGATACTTCCCAGTAACAGGAGATTTCTGCTTCCTTTTCATCTGCAATTAAATTTATACTGTAGCTTACATTATTTCGCTCAGTTAAGAAAACCCTCCAAATTTCCCATTTCAGCCCAGTTGGCTGGGGCGGTTCAGGCTCTTCCTGAAGCCCAGAAGTTGCTGTGCTGTCTGTTCTGCTCAGCAGCAGAGTGTGTGACCACAGTCCCAAGTTTGTGATGCTTGCAGAGTTCCCTGGAGCCTGATCTCCATGGAAACTGTCACAAGACTTCTAAAACACAACACCTAGTGCCGATAAGCTCACACAGAGGAGCTGCACTGCTACACTCAGCTCTCCCTGAACATCAGCTCATTGGTGGGCAGCGTTTTTGGTGTGGCTGAATCTCCATCCAGTTAACCCCCTGCGCTCTTAAACTGCCTCGACCCTAACAGAAAATACAAACTTCTGTAATTCAAAAACTTAAAAGTTACAATTTTTCCAAGACTGGTGTTAGATCTCCCAACTGTTTAGAATGTCTAAAGTCGGTGATTCTTCTTATCGGAAAGGATTTAGAAAAAAGTTGAGGACCCCT